AAATATAGCAAGAATATATTAAGAAATATTCGATTTCCATATTCAAAATTCAATTTTTTTTTTTAAAAAAGAAAATTCAAAGGAAAAAACGTTTTCTAAAAAGGAAAATCTTTGAAAAATATTCTCACGGTTATTGTCACGTTCTTCTCACGCCTCTTCTCCATTCTCCCCAATATTTTCACAGTCTTTACCTTGTTTCTACCATGATTCATGTCTATGCTTCATGTGGTGTTTGGGAATCGGTTGTAGCTTCAGGTTGGAGGTTTTCTATTGATGAAAGAAAGGGGGAAGGTTACTTGCTTTGCAATTGAAGTCCTCTCTGGAAGAGTTACAAAAAGTTGTTATAGAGGATTTTGGTTTCGAAGATAAGGATGCTGATTTGGAGTTAAGTTACATACCTATTGGGTTGATGGACAGATCAGAATGTCCACCGGTGGTCATCGGAAACTCACGCCAAGTGCACAACTTTCTAGGATTTTGTAAGAAGCATCAGTCAACTCGGTTATGTGTCTCCTATAAACCGAAGGAAGATAATCCAAATAAGATCGACATTGATCTTAAAGAGATGCCCATTGATTCACGTACTGTGGAAGAGGAAGACCGAAATCCTTGTGCCAATGGGGGCGCTTCAGATGTCAATGTTAAAGGAGGTAAGCATAACAACAAGAGAAAAGAAAAGATGGAGCATTGCAAAACTGATGGAGATGATTATGGTGTTGATGAGTATAATGAGAAGAAAAAAGGAAAGATGATAGAATACAATGTCGATGGAGATGTTGATGTTGCTGACACCATCTTCTCTGAAGAAGAAAACAGAGAAAAATTATCAAAGAGTTATGTGGTGGAGTTGGTTAAGCAAGGAGATCTTTTCCTCAACCGAGCAGTATTGAAGGCGAGGTTTGAGCTGTGTGCAATGAAGCATAACTTTGACTACAGAGTTATCAAATCCAATAAATCAGTTTGGTGTATTAGATGCGCTGATAATGTTTGCAATTGGGGTTTTCGAGCTGCATGTATGAACGGGTCTACATATTTTATTATTAAGGAGTATGTCGGTACACTTTCTTGCGCACCTTCTACCAAAAGTAGAGCCGGTAAGACAGCTTCAGCGAAAACAATAGGTGGTCTGATCATGCATAAATATGAAGGTGTCAAAGAAGGGCCTAAAGCGAAAGATATTGTTCAGATTATGCGTGATGATTATGGATGTGAGATCTCTGAATCCTTGGCATGGGATTCTCGTGAATTTGCAGTCAGCGCCATCAGAGGTATTCCAGAGCTAAGCTATGGTAAAATACCGAAGTATTTGCACATGCTGCGAGAGGCCAATCCGGGAACACATTCGGCTTATGAGACTGGCATCAATGGTCGCTTTCAATATCTTTTTTTTTAGCTTTTGGTCAGTCGATTAGAGGCTTTAACAAAGTCACGAGGCATGCTATTGTTGTTGATGGAACATTCTTGAAGAATAAATTCAAAGGAGTTCTATTGGTTGCCACTGCTTTAGATTGAAATTCACATTTGTACCCTATAGCTTTTGGGGTAGTAGACTCTGAGAATGATCATGCTTGGGAATGATTTATGAGACTATTGAAAGAAGTTATTGCTGATGATATGGGGCTGGATATTATTTTGGACAGACAAATGTCTATAGGGAAGGCACTTGAGAACGTGTATCCACTAGCAAAACATGGGATTTGTATTCTTCACTTGTTGAACAATGTGATTTCAAATCACAGGGGAAAGGGGTTAGCTGGGTTTATTTCTAAGGCTTCAAAGGCTTATAGAGTGGCTGATTTCAAGAAGATGTTCGAAAGTGGTCTAGATGTCAATTTGTTGGATACCTGTATGACATTAGGACAACTAATCCTGCTGAATCTATTAATTATGCCTTGCGCACGCCAAGAGAGTTTCCGGTAATTCCTTTGTTGGACAGCGTTAGAGAAATGCTAACTCGGTGGTTTTAAAGCGCAAGAGGAAGATTTCAAAGCATACGCATCCTTTGACCATAGATGTGGAGGAAAAGATTGATAGGAGAATTGAGAAAGGTAAAAATTTTGTAGTTTACCCTGTAAACGACTATCAGTTTCTTGTTAATGGTGATACAATTGACTGCTTCGTTGATTTGGATAAACGGATGTTCTCATGTGGGAAGTACAACCTCTTGAAAATTCTTTGTAGACACGCGATAAAAGCCGGTTTCTCTGTTGGCAAATAACCACACACGTTGACTGATTTGATGTACACCACATGAGCTTGGAGAGAAGCTTATCAAGGAAGCATAAATCCCATTGCTGTTCCTGAAGATGCTTGGTCTGTCCCTGAAGATGTGGAAAATTCTGAAGTGTTACCGCCTGAGACAAGAAGGTCTCTTGGAAGAAACAGAAAAAAAGATACGAAACCATTGAAGACAAAATTCGATCATCACAAGGATCACATGGACCTAAGCTTCGCGGGTGCAGCAGGTGTGGTTCTGGTGGCCATAACAGATCAACTTGCAAGATGCCAATATAGTCGTTTTGTTTGCTGTTTTTTTCACCACTTTGTTTCAGATTTCACCACTTTGTTTCAGATTTCAGACTGGTTTTGAACAAGTTTGCTTCATGTTTCAGTTTCAAACAAGTTTGCTTCATGTTTCAGTTTCAGTTTCGAACAAGTTTGCTTCATGTTTCTAGTAATACGCATTCAGTTTCAAACAAGATTGTTTCATGTTTTAAATTTTGTTATATTCTCTTGTTGACATATGATATGTCGCCTTGAATTTGGCTGTAAAAAAACTCTGAAACATAAACATTGGAGGTATGAATAAATCCCAGGAACCAGTGTATCTATTTCATTCATTATTGGGTACATAATTTTCGAAAAAGACAAATTATAGACCTTAAACAACCCAGATCATCGGACTTAATCTTCTTACTAACTTCTTCATCTTCCATCTTCTGCAAAATCCTTTTCAGATCTTGAATCTCCTCTGCGATTCTGCTTTGCTGAATATCTACCCTTTGAATCTCATCAAGCAACGCTTCATCACACCACTTAAATAAATGGAGTTCCCTCTTCCGCTACATCAAAACCCATAAGCAAATAAGAACAAATTAATCTCAAGTATAGTATAGAACAAATACACTTAATAACTGAAACCTGTAACCCAATCTCGCATCTGTACGTAGAATCTTTTGTACGGGTTTTCATCAGTTTTTGAGTACAATATCACAACCCTATTTCCACACCAACATCGAGATGGTACTCCTACACAGAATCGTCTCTCTGTATTCATGTTTGACAAAGATATGTACAGAGAAAGGGGAGAGACAGAGAAACGAGAATGGAGAAACTGATTTGAGATGGATCTGTTTTGGGTTTTTGAAGGTTATATATGTAGGGTGTTATGTCGAAGATGGGTCTTTTTCGGGTCCGAATTTAGGGTAGGAACAGGCCTGTCTAGTTTAGGGTAACCTATATTATATATATATATATATATATTATCATTTTTTTTTAAAAACATATATTAACTTTGTTTTTAAAATTAATATAATTTAAATACTTTTTTAAAAAAGGTTTAGGGTACAAGTCCCCATTTGCGGTATAGTGTCTAAGTAAGGTTTAAAAGATAATATATAGTTCTAAATATAACTATATAACACATATTAACATTTTTTTTAAAACCATATATTAACTTTGTTTTTAAAATTAATAATATAATTTACAAATTTAAATACGTTTCAAAAAAGGTTTAGGGTATAAGTCCCCATTTGCGGTATAGTGTCTAAATAAGGTTTAAAAGATCATATATAGTTCTAAATATAACTATATAACACATATTAACATTTAAAAAAAAACATATGTTATACTATAGCTTAAACATCCACGAAGTGAAGATAAAAGTTTCTAAAAATCTGGAAACAAACCATATGTTAATACAATAGCTTAAACATCCTCTGAAATATAACATTAACATCCCACAAATATAGCTTAAACCTCAAATACAATTGATCAGGAAATATCAATACATTTGTTATGCTTATAAGCGGGACGCTCATACTTCGACATCCTCTCCAGCAACTCTGGATCATTACCGGCTTCCCATAGATCCCAAAGCATTCTAATCCGAGCAGTCTTGATGTTATCATCACTAATCAACGACAAATCTAACCACATCGCATGGCATTCAATGTGTTTTACAGCATACACACCACAATGACAAGCACGTTGGTTGAGATTATGCATAGGGGTATAGCTTACAGTGTACGCCGTGATTATGAGATTCTTCTGGTTTGTCACCGACTGAACGGCCTTGACGATCCTAGGAATAAGTACCGTGAATGCTTCAACCTCTCTGTACCTCTATAAACCCGAGCAATCAAACACATCGATATGCCTAGTCACGAAACTGATGGATAACGCGATCCAGTGATTCTAATTGACCCAAACTGGAACATACAATCGATCTACATCAACACCCCACACCTTTCTTGTTTTTCCGTGAGAAGGCAGTTCGCCTTTGCCGTATTTCGGCAGCAACCTATCCATAGTGTACTTCTTTGCACCACCTTTCTTAAAATTGATGTAGTCGCTTCTAATGAGGTCACTGAACACGCATGACATGGAAGCAACACAATCTGTTTTCCATCGTCCGAGTGTTGTTCTTTCCCGGAATATATACATCATAGCATCAATCTCCTACAATTTCAAGGCTAATGTTAGTAGACAGCCTAAATAACACCTATACTTTATTAGAATTTAAAAGTTGGATGCTTACAATGTTGTGAATCCACTCGAATCGACTTATAATGCGAGTACATATTGCCTCATTTAACAAACAAGGACCAACCTGTAAACCTCTGTTTAAAAAATAATAATTAGTTACAACATTATACAATAACATATAGTAGGATTATAGTAGGATTAACCTACGTTCTTAAGTCCTGCCACTCTTGAAGTCTTTCAAAATTTTCTGGATCCACATATACCAATTGCGCATCAGGATCATTCTCACCGGCTCATGCAACTTGATAGTCATTTAATTCCCGAACATCTATCTTCTCTGATGTTCCTGGAGACGAGAAAGCCAAAGGATCATCGATTTTAGGCTGAGAAGGATCAAAACCCTCTACAAATGTATCCTGTGAAAGGTCTGGGAAGCAGCTTTGCAAGTAATCTTGTGTACTCAAATGAACATCAATTCCTGGTGATAGAGACAAGTTTACTCCAGGTAAATCAATAAGCGGATCATCGGTGATTAATTTTTTTTTTCGCAGCCTGATGACACACATAAAAAGTAATAAGGTTTTAATTTAAACATATTACACAACATTAACTTCAAAATTAAGTTCCAAGTAATAGCCAAGTTCTAACCACATATTACATATCAATAATACCACACATACATCCGACAAGTTCCTAATATAAACATACCTTACTAGACAAACAAAATGTCATACCGCCTAGTTCCAAGTTCTAGCATCCCAGGTCTATAAAGTACTTCTAAACAACTAGTTCCAAGATCCAACAATCCTTAACCCTTTCTCTTATTCGTTACCTTTCTTGTTTGTGGACCTGTGACTTTTGTACTCTTCGCAGAAGTTGTTTCTTTTTGACTCTTGGCAGGAGCTGTGTATTTTTTGGAGATGGCAGGAGCTGTGTCTTTTTCGGAGATGGCAGGAGCTATGACTCTTTTGGTCTTGGCAGGAGCGCTGTCTTTCTTGGAGAAGGCAGGAAGTGTGTCTTTTTGGGAGAAGGCAGGAGCTGTGTCTACTCCACTCTTGCTAGGACCGGTATGTTGATCAGTCTTTCCCACCATTTCAGTGAGGACTAACACGGTCCTGAGCTGTGAAACCTCACTCTCCAACTTCCTGAGCCTGCTTGTTACCGCTGTCTCAATCTTGTCGATTCTATCGGAGAACTATTGAACGATTTTCCCCTCAAAATCAGTAAATGAAGCTTTTAGAAAACCCTCGAAGAATTGCTTCATGTCTGTGTCAGTGCTCCCGCTCCCTTTGTTTGAAGCAGCTAGCTGGCACAACAACTTCTTCTTCCTTGCATCTGCTCCTTGGTCAGCATTCTTTCTCTTCTTTGTACCTGAATCCACATCCGGTGTAACATGACTACTCTCGCCAATCTCGGTATCAGCATCAGCATCTCCTTCCTCTTCTTTCTCTTCCTCAGATTCCACCATTTCAGACCCTAGACCTCCTTCTGATACTCCCCAAACATGATTGCTCCAATCGTAGTTTCCTTTGATCATATCCACTATGCGCTCAACTCTTTCATCTTTCTTCTCATCCTTCCTTGCAAAATCTGAACCCAAAAAGACCACCCCATCTCCGCCCACTTCGAGGAATGAGTGCAAAATCTACTACAAGAGATTGAAATCATTAGTAAAATGATTTAGACAATAAAACATTTTTAATACACAATTTTGAAGAGATTAAAATCATTACTAAAATAAATAAGACAATCAAACATTTTTATTATAGAAATCTATTCATATATTCTCTGGAAATAATGTCTCAACCCCAATGATGTCTTCATATGAACATTTTGCACATCCTGTCCAATTACCACACAGAGGACCCATGAAATTGTCCGTAACCTTCGTCCCACACATTTCTCCCAATGAAGGAATAGCTTCCGATCCATAACCCAAACCTGGAAAGCATACAAGAACCCTTCCATCAGGTACCCCTCCTTCTGCTCCAATTTACGTCTTTCCTTTACCATCGATTTCAGTAGGAAATCATACGAGCGCAAACCCCAAGGGTACTTCCGAAGCTTTTCAAAATCTATCACTAACTTCATGTACTCAAGCGAGATATTCACCTTCTCATCCCTCCCAAAGACCACACCCATAATGACACATAGATAGACCACACCCTATCAACAAAAGTCCAGGTGCTACAGTCATCCAAATACTCCTTTTTAATATCCTGCACGCTAATTTTCCCACGCGTCCTTATCTGGTTGCTCCAAAAACCACCATCATCATTCCATCTCAATAACCCACTGGTCTTATCTTGTTTCACTTTCAGACCAGCGACAACATGATACTCTTGCAATCCAAAACGCAGAGACCTCCCCGCAAATATAAACCATTTCTCATGCTTCAAGGTTGTCATCAACTCCTTACAGAGGAACGCGTGTACCACCCTTGCAGAAAACTTCAGATGATTCGTCTCAATAGCTATAATATGCGAGAAAATGGGATCGTTCTTGACTTCATTGAATTCAGGCTCCAATTTTGACCGTAGAAGCTCGAGAAGTTTCATTCGGCAGCTGTTATTAATCTTCTTAGTCTGAGGTTCCAACCCTTCTGCATATAGATGCCTAGGCAACTCAACTCCATAGCTGTAAATGAAGACAATATATATCAATAATCAATGTCGCAGCTCAGTAAAATAACATCTCTTATAACTCTATCAATCTTAATAAACCAGAAGTGAACAAAAATAAAAATTCTCAGTGTAATTGCCTTAGCATGAAAATAGCCACACAGAGGTATTGAAACATAAAATAACTTTATAAGAACACAGCAACCAACTCTCCTAACCTAATTACGATTCTATCACATCTAAGAACTAGTTTTACAAGAACAAAGAAAGATAATGTCCTAAGCTAATTGTTCTTCTGTTCATGTTCTCAAATAAGGTTACTGTAATAAGGTTCTTGTGTTCATGTCCTCGTTGATCCATTCTTTATGCCCCTGAATGCTAGAACGTAAAGCACACACCACAAAGATTCACAACAAGACACACACAACAAGAAAAAACAATAACAACACCAAAGATTCAATGTTTAGCAAAAAAAAAACACCAAAGATTCAGCCTTTATCAAAAACACACACACAAAGATTCAATCTTTACATACATAGCACACCAAGATTTAACCTTTTTAGGACAGAACACACCAAGATTCAACCTTATTCAGACAGAGCACACAAAGATTCAACCTTCTTCAGACAGAACACATATATTCAGTATTTTTCAAACAAAAACACCAAAATTCAAGCCTTTTCAGATAAAACACGCCAAGATTCAAGCTTTTTCAGATAAAACACGCCAAGATTAAACCTTTCTCAGATAGAATACACAAAGATTCTACCTTTTCTAGACAGAAATTCAACCTTTTTCAGACGAAACACACAAAAATTCAACCTTTTTAAGACATAACAGAACACACCAAGTATCAACCATTTTTCAGATAGAACACACCAAGATTCAACCTTGTTAAAAAAAAAGCAGACATATGGATTCAAAATTTAACAAGCTATCCTTCTCAAAGGGAATCGAACTCGTGCCCTCCAACTAGATTCAACCACTAACTAATGAAGCAGAACAGAGTACAAAGAAAAGGATAGAGTCATGCCTATAAACCTTGACGATTAAGCTGTTCTCTGCCGTGACTCCTCCACCGGTCCAACGTTGACTCAGCGGCTTGTGGAAACCGAGATGCTCCGGTGAGACGCTTGGGAGAGAAAGGGAGATGGCGGAGATGGCAGAGAGTGGTGGAGGTGACGAAAATGATGACGGGAACCGAGAGAGACAGGGAGATGGCAAAGAGACAGGGAACCGAGAGAGACAGGGAACCGAGAGAGAGAGAGGGAGAGCGGCGTCGCAGGAGCTTCTTCGTCAAGAATTGTTGGGGTCAAAATCGGTACGACAGAATTAATAGCCAAAACTCCCCGCGAAAATACAAAAAGACCAGTTTTATAAAACCCGAGGACTAGTTTTATAAAACTCAAAGTCATTTATAGAACTCGTAGACTATTTTATGAAACTCGAAGATCGTTTTATAAAACTCGAGAAATCGTTTTCTAAACCTCGAGAATCGTTTTATAAAACTCGAGAATCGCTTTATAAAACTCGAGAATCGTTTTATAAAACTCGAGAATCGTTTTATAAAACTCGAGAATCGTTTTATAAAACTCGAGAATCGTTTTATAAAACTCGAGAATCGTTTTATAAAACTCGAGAATCGTTTTATAAAACTCGAGAATCGTTTTATAAAACTCGAGAATCGTTTTATAAAACTCGAGAATCGTTTTATAAAACTCGAGAATCGTTTTATAAAACTCGAGAATCGTTTTATAAAACTCGAGAATCGTTTTATAAAACTCGATAATCGTTTTATAAAACTCGAGAATCGTTTTATAAAACTCGAGAATCGTCTTATAAAACTCGAGAATCGTCTTAAAAAAACTTGAGAATCGTTTTATAAAACTCGAGAATCGTCTTATAAAACTCGAGAATCGTTTTATAAAACTCGAGAATCGTTTTATAAAACTCGAGAATCGTTTTATAAAACTCGAGAATCGTTTTATAAAACTCGAGAATCGTTTTATAAAACTCGAGAATCGTTTTATAAAACTCGAGAATCGTTTTATAAAACTCGAAGAATCTTTTTATAAAACTCGAAGAATCGTTTTATAAAACTCGAGAATCGTTTTACGAAAACGCAAAAAATCGAAAAAGCCGTAAAACGCGAACTAGTCGCAACTAGTTCGCCCATCGGCGAACTAAGCCGGGCCCGGCTTAGTTCGCCGATGGGCGAACTAGGAAGTGATCAACTAGTTCGCCCATCGGCGAACTAAGCCGGCCCGGCTTAGTTCGCCGATGGGCGAACTAGGACATGCTCAACTAGTTCGCCCATTGGCGAACTAAGCCAGCCCGGCTTAGTTCGCCGATGGGCGAACTAGAAACCTCCCGGACACTCCGCGTCTTGATTTCCCGCATTCCCGGTTCAAAATTTACGTCTTTCGACACGATCGCATTCTAAACTACGGCTAAAACGTCTCCCGTTCCATCTCAATCCGACTTACCGTTCGAGTTTTACGATAAAAACCCTAAAACTTCGTTTTCTCGGAAAGAACTCGAGGAAATCGTATAAAACGGCAACGGTTAAACGAAACACCGAATATTGCCTAAAACTATACGATTTGTTCGAGATTTCTCGTTAAAATCATAAAAACGCGCTTTTAATAAAAAACGCTGAGTAAGTCGTAAAAAACGTGTTTTAATAAAAAGTCGAGTAAATCGTAAAACTTTGCGATTAACTCGAGAAATTTATTAAAAACGATGTCAGATCAGGAAACGATCCCGTAAAAAGTCGGAAAACGGTTTTTATCGCAAAACGGCCCGGAAGGACCTAAAACGCGATAAAAACCCATCTCGCGATTTCAACGGAATGTAACCCGCAGATTTGATAACGTTTTGACGGTTCACTCGCAGAAGGAAAATAAAAGTCAAGTTTAAAGATAAAAGGAAGGTTTGAAGAGAAATAGAAGATTTCCGCGGAAGAAAAGGAAGGATCAAGAAGAATGGAAAATTCCCGATTTAGTCAGATCTGGGCGAAATGGAAAGATCGGATAGCCAAGGCGAGGAATATATAAATAAGAGGTTTAGGGCAGAAGCACAGACACGAAATTCAGAGCTCTCACCACCAAAACTAGCATTTAGGAATATTTCCGTTTCTCTGTTAGCGAGCTGCGTCTCAATTAGGGTTTTCGTTCTTAAGCTTTTCGGCTACTCTTTGCTCTCTATTTCGTTTATTTTCATTCAAATTCTAAGTTATCGTTTTCTTTGTTATTCGTTGTGCGGTTCTCGCAAATAGCCGGTTCCTCTGGAAACTTAGGGTTTACCCAAAGTTTCCTTTTTTACGATTTATTGACGGTAGGTGGATTTCGGTTCCCACAGTTTGGCGCTAGAAGGAGGGGGGGTCGGATCTATCTTACACCGTAGCCGCAACATGTCCAACGAAGAAACGATGGCTGGTGACAACCAAACTCGCGACGAACGCGACAACGTT